AGGGTAATAATGTATTTTTGTATATGAGGATATTTTAGTCATTTACAAATTCTATTTTCCATTTTATGTATATTTAGGCATTCTAACTAAAAAACAAACTTGTTGGCCTTTTTAAACTAATACTTGGTTTGACTAGGCTAATTAAATGAAGTCCCCTAATATTTTTCATCACATCAATAATTTTTTCTTCTTTTTCAACCACACATTTCTCACATATCACTATTTAAAAATCAATTCTTCCCCCAAAAATCACTATCAAACAAGCTCCTAGTTTCCTGTTGATCTGATAGCACATTCATGATTTAGGTAATAAAGGATTTCACAAGATGTTTTATTATTTGTCAATTTAAAATGAAGATAATTAATCAATGATGATTAAACTTTACTATAAGTTAATAATTGCTCATCGATATTTAACCTCACTGAATTTTACTATAAGTTATCACTTGTTTACCGAAATTTAAAAGGTTATTCGTTGTTCACCAAAATTTGAACACAGTTACTCTTTGTTCATTGAAATTTGCTGTAGGTAACACTGATGAAAATGATATGAGTGATTGATGGGTAATTTTGTTCAAATTTGAGTGAGCAACGAGTAATTTTTTAAATTCTGGTGAGCAAGTAGTAATATATAGCAAAATTCAGTGAGCAAAGAGTAACTTTTTAATTTCGATGAGGAAGTAGTAACTTATAGTAAAATTCAGTGACCATTGATTGAATTAACTCATTTAAAATACAATCAATTTTTCATCCAATTTTTTTCCCTCCACATCATTTTCGATACCCACTTATGTATCATTTTTCTAATCTAAATGTCAATTTTTACTATTTTTAGAAGATTTTAACTCAATGCCAAAACCTATGGAAACAAATAATCTTCAAGTTAAGCAAAAGCATGCAGGTAAGACATAAAGTAAATAATAGAACAATGAACATGGTATTTAACGTGGTAAAACTTTTAAGATATATTCGGATAAATCTCCGAACTACTTGACTTATTCTAAGGGTCGGCCCTGGCCCAAGGCAAGTAAGGCCATTGCTTTGGGCATCAAAATTTAAGGGGCAACAAAAAAAAGTCTAGGAAGCCCAATCAGGTCCAATAAAAAATGTTTGAAGGTTCCTATTTGGCTATTTCCTTATCGTCTTCAACACTTCAACATTCAAGTCTTCGGTCTTCAGTCTTCTTCTCCGACTTCTCGGCTATGCCTACAACAACTCTCAAACATGGACGGTGGACTACAAAATTTGGGGTAAGATATCAATCACACTTAGAGACTTTATCGATATGTGTTTGCTTTTGGCTTTTGCATTCTCAATTTGAATATTGATGTGTTATACTTATGGGTCTTTCTCCCAAATTTTTTAAGAGTTTGGATTTCTCGATTTGATTTTGAATTGTTAACTGATAGTGATTTGTGATGTTGGAACTGGGTTGTGGGAAAGGTAATGGGCAAGTTGGAGAGATATTTATTTTCAAGCTTATAATACATTAAAAAGCTTATTTAAAAGGGCATTCATTAATTAACTCAGTTCCGATTGAACCCTGAAGCTAAGCTGAGTCAAACAATCATAGTTTTGAACGATTCAAAACTATCTGGTTCAAAAGTCCTTTACTTGCACAGCTACTTTTATGTATAATTATTTATACAGTAGAGTTAAGAATATTAATTTTTGTTGATTTTGTGGATTAATTCTTGATTTGATTTCAATATGTGCATATTGGGCCTAATGGCGTTGTTGGGGGAAAAGAGGAGCTTGGTGACGGAAAGGTTTTATTAAAGAAATTAAAATGTCAAAAAAATGTAGCGTTTGATTGCTTGGTCTGTTAATCATATTCTAGAAATGAGATTGATTATATATGGAGTCCATACTTCCCACATATTTCTTCAATGCATCAGGTTTTAAAAAACCAGGCAGGAGGTTACGCATTTTAAGTGATTCTTCTTTGACTGAGGTTTGTAGAGTTGTAGGAAAATATTTCTCAACATTTCTTGGCCACCAGGAAGTTACAAGCTTATTTTCATTAGAAAATAAGAACTTATTTCCAGCAGGTCCACATACAACTGCTGTTTTTTCACCAAGTAACGAAGTTTTGAATATATGAGGTGAAAATTTATTCATTCTCTTTTCAAAAAAAAATTTCTCTTGTTACACTTGTGAAAAAATGATTTTTTTGAAGGGTCTCATAATAATTAGTCGCCTAGGGTCTCTAACCACTTCCTTATTTTAAGTTATAAAAACAAAATATGAAATAACCACAAAATATCATTCCAATTTTGATATTCACAAAATTTTTGATCTCCATAGACAACTAACCACTTCCTTATTTTAAGTTATAAAACATTGCAATTAAACTAGGATTAAAGAAACGTCTTCATTTTCCCATCAACATGCCACTTTTTTTCTCAATGGTTTCTTCTATAGTCAATACAGTTAGTAGTGTAGAACTCTCACAATGGTCCATGTTTTACAATCATTATTTTAAAATTCTTTTTTTCTATATACTCATTTTCAATCATACATTCACACGATAAAATAGTCTGCACATAAATTCAAAACTTTTTAACTAGACATTCTTCTAAAACTCACTATTCAAACCATTATTTTTCTCCAAATAATAATTGTTAAACATATGAATGTTAACCTTTTATTTATGTTGTGCACGAAATTGAAAAGCTAACCCCATAGAATGGTAAATATTACGAGAAAATAGTAATCAAATGTTGTCCCTATTTGGTTTAGTTAAAAGTTAATTAAAATTTAAGTTAAAGTTAACAGTTAATTTTAACTACAAATTTTATGTGATCAATAACTTTTTAATCATATATTTGATTAATTTTTATCAAAATTTACTAAAATCTAATTTAAGGCACAATGCAGGCTAAACCAGTCTTTTATGCATTATAGTTGAAGGGAGTAGTGGCAGCCCATTCAAGTCGGGCCGAACTTTTTAGTGGATAACAAAAGGAACTCCAAGTGTAGCAATTAGGAAACAATCATACGTCATAGGTGTACGTGAATTACAGCGAAATTCACCACCATTTCCCTTTCACTTATGGGGCGGACATTTTTCGACAAGTAGCATTCTCTTACCGGTGAGCCTTTCAAATGTCTAAAATTTCAATGCGTTACTCCTCGTTGACTTCAAACTGTTTGTGAATATTCCCAACAGAAATGCACAACATTTACATAAATACTGTATAAGGCTACGGCCAATTTCCGTCTAGATGTATTAGATTTCTTATCTAGAGGGATGCTATTTGCCTTTTAGTTCCTGATTAATCATACTGCTATGGTCATTTTCCTTCAACCTTGAATAGTCTAATCTTTGCCATGTGTAAAATCATTTGTAAATTGTAATTTCATGCTCCCTGTCTATCTTTTCTTTTACTTTACGTCAGGAATTCCCTTTTGCCAGTTTTTAGAATCATAACCATAATCCATTATGAATCTTTGCTTTCCATTACTTTACTGTTTATAGTTCTATATGCCTCGTTCTCCATCCAATCAGCAGCTGCATAACTTGGTAGCTTCTCCATTCATATATACATGTAGTGTATGTATAATATTTTGAACTCTAGCTGCATCGTAAAAACCCATTTGATTCTGTAATCTTCCCAATGTTGGAAAATAATATACATAGTTATGTTGCCATTGTAGAGGTGTACTTCGTGTTTCTCAAAACTAAATATGCTTTCCTTGTGTCTATCTTTATATAGGAAACGGAAGTGGCCATCGAACATTAACCTTTTTTTGTCATCGTGTTTACTTTTAGAATTTATACCTCAATCATTGAATCGATCAAATTCCATATGATTGCATTTGTTTTCCTTTGTGACGCGTAGATTTCTTTAGGTTGTTTCTTTTGGGATTATTTATAAATTGATATAAATAAATAGTGGATAAGTAGGTAATAGTTGTGGGTGCTACAAGAATGAGTGGATAAAAAGTTGGTTTGATCCACTCAATTTATAATTTAAACAATTCCAAACATGTTACGAGTTCTTCAATTTTCTTTCTGATTATGTATACTTAAAGAATTTGCAGGTATCAAATTAAATGTTGGGGCTGCTATCCAATAATATTTATGTCTTGGAAAGTACCAATGAGTTATGCTTAGTGTCCCATGAAGTGAAAATATCAGAAATGATCTAGTTACTGAAGAGTGAAGTCATGTCGTTAATATCCACTTCTACCGTTCTACCTCTACACCTGAACACCAAGCAAACTCACTGTCTGCAGCCAGAAAGACTGGCATTGCTCATAGACAAAAGCAAATCTATCAAACCCCTAAGCCAAATCCATGCGTTTGTAATCTGTCATGGTCTGGAAAGCCATCCAGTCTTGAATTTCAAGCTCCTGCTCTCATATTGTTCTCTAAGTCATCTTGAACATTCTGTGTCCCTCTTTAATCGCACCCAAAATCCTAGTGTTTACTTTTACACTGGCATTATCCATGGCCATGCCATAAATGATCTCCACGAAAAAGCTTTTCTTTTCTATGTGCTAATGTTATCTGAAGATGCGGAACCTAATGCATTCACATTGTCTGCTATCCTCAAAGCTTGCCCGTTGGAATCTGGGAAATCCCTCCATTGCCAAGTGCTTAAACTTGGCTTGAAGTTTGATACTTATGTGAGAACTGTTCTGGTGGATGTTTACACAAAAGGTGGGGATATTATCTCAACTCGTAAACTTTTTGACACAATGCCTGAGCGAAATTTGGTTTCCTTGACTGCAATGATAACCGGGTACACAAAGAATGGGCTTTTGGATTAGGTGAGAATGTTGTTTAATAGAATGGAGGAGGGGGATGTTGTATCTCGGAATGTGATGATTGATGGGTATGCTCGGAATGTGATGATTGATGGGTATGCTCAGAATGTAAGACCTAATGATGCTTTGATTCTCTTTAGGCAGATGTTGAAGGCAAAGGTGAAGCATAATGAGGCAACTCTGCTGGCAGTTCTCTCTGCTTGTGGGCAGGTGGGAGCATTGGAGTTGGGCCGGTGGATTCATTCTCACATGCAGTATAATGGGATTCCAGTATATGCTAGGATGGGTAGTGTTTTGGTTGATATGTATTGTAAATGTGGAAGTTTGGAGGATGCAAGGACGATGTTTGATGGGAACAAGGACAATGATGTTGTTGCATTTAATTCGATGATAGTTGGGTATGCAAGTCACGAATTTAGTCAAGAAGCGTTGGAGTTGTACAACAACATGAGTGGCATTGGCCACATCCCTACTGAGATAACCTTTATTGAAATTTTAAGTGCTTGCGTTCATGCTAAAAGATCAGTACGGGATTCAACCTAAAGTTGAACATTACGGGTGTATGGTCAATCTTCTAGGACGAGCTGCATAATTAGAAGAAGCTTGTCAATAGCATGAAAAATGATGCTGACCCAATTTTATGGGGAACATTGTCAGGTGCACGTACACTTTATAGGAACATCCACATGGGAGAGAAAATTGTGGAAATCCTCATAGAATGTGGCCTTGCAAATTCTGGAACTTATGTTCTTCTTTCGAATTTTTATGCTTCAGTAGGCAATTGGGATAGGGTGGTAAGAGTGAGGGCTATAATGAAGCAAAGTGGAGTACGCAAGGAGCCAAGTTGTAGCTCAATCGAGGTTAATAATAAGGTGTACGAGTTTCTTACTGGTGACTTGAAACATCCAAAATGTAAAGAAATTTATGAGATGCTGAAGGAGATAAATGGATGGCTTAAGGCTCATGGTTACTTACCACAGACAGAAGTAGTGCTGCATGACATTGGAGAATCAGAAAAAGAGAAATCATTAGAGGTTCACAGTGAAAGGCTTGCTATTGCTTTTGGTCTTATTAGCACTCAACCGGGAACTACTATCAAAATTGTCAAGAACCTTCGAGTGTGTCCAGATTGCCATGTTGTTACTAAGCTCATATCCAAAATCACAGGTCGAAAAATAGTTGTAAAGGACCGCATCCGATTTCACCACTTCGTCGATGGTTCATGACACAGGTCGAAAAATAGTTGTAAGGGACCGCGACCGATTTCACCACTCAGTGGGTGGTTCATGTTCTTATGGTGATTACTGGTGATCAAAATCAACATAAATTGTCAAACAGGAAGTTATCTTGATACCATTGTACTTTTTATTTGTCATATTTTACTTTCTTTTCTCTATAGAATTTCACAGAATTCTTTTGTATTTGATAGAAAATAGTTCTTAAAATTTTGTTGTATATTCTACTTGCCTGGTGAAATAAGAATAATGCTATTTGTCATTATGACGATGAAACATTGGTGTCGTGGCTGTTTATGTAGAATAATAAGATTATACAGTTTCATTTTTACGAGGGAGAGAGTGAGTGAAAAATATGAAGGATAATTGGTTGTCATATTACCGATATTAATTATCATCATGATTTACTTGTGTAATAAAATGATATCCTTATTTGGACTAGAGAAGAGATTGGAAAATTTATTATGAAAAACACAGTTTTAGCGAACAGTTGAGAGGCGTAGATACAATAGATACATAACTAATTAAAATAAAAAAATTTATGCAAAGCAATTAATTTTTACCTACTCTAGTATTCGTTTAACATCGTCAAATTCAAAACAGTTCGAATGCAATAATTTGCGCATGTTTGAACCTTATTTTTTGAGGATAACCTTTGCAAAAAGTAATTTTTTATGGAATGTGAGATTAAAAAGTATGGAAAAATTTTAGACTTCTAAAATAAATTTAGTTAAAGAATACTTGGAGTCCGTTTGGTACACATTAAAATGAGATAATGTATTTTTTGAAGTGATGTGATGAGAAATATGTGATTGAAAAAGAAGGAACAGTTATTGATGAAATGAAAAATATTATTTAATTGAAAAATGTGTGGTTGAAAATGAGTAAAAGAATGAGAATAAAAAAATTAATGTGGACCAAACAGGGGCTTGATTAAAAATGAGTTTAGAAACAAAAAAAAAAAATTAGAATTTTGATATTTGTACATTGGGATTGAAACCCTCGTGTACCCCGCCCCCCCAACCAAAGGAGCTCACGATTTTTTTATTGGATTTCGAGTACACCCTTTCCGCGTACATGTAACCCACAAATTTAACCTTAAACAAATATCCGTGGATAACTCGGAATTTAGGCTCTTTTGGTACACATTATTTTTTTTATTCTTATTTTTCTAGTCATTTTCAATTACATATTTTTCAATAAAATAATATTTTACATCACATCAATAACTTTTCCTTATTTTTCAACAACATATTCCCTATCACATCAACAGTAAAAATGCATTCTTACCTTCAAAATGTGCACCAAATGGGGGCACACAGGTCGAAAAATAGTTGTAAGGAACCGCAATCGATTTCACCACTCAGTGGGTGGTTCATGTTCTTATGGTGATTACTGGTGATCAAAATCAACATAAATTGTCAAACATGAAGTTATCTTGATACCATTGTACTTTTGTTTGTCATATTTTACTTTCTTTTCTCTATAGAATTTCACAGAATTCTTTTGTATTTGATAGAAAATAGTTCTTAAAATTTTGTTGTATATTCTACTTGCATGGTGAAATAAGAATAATGCTATTTGTCATTATGACGATGAAACATTTGTGTCGTGACTGTTTACGTGGAATAATAAGATTATACAGTTTCATTTTTACGAGGGAGAGAGTGAGTGAAAAATATGAAGGATAATTGGTTGTCATATTACCGATATTAATTATCATCATGATAAATAGTATTACTTGTGTAATAAAATGATATCCTTATTCGGACTAGAGAAGAGATTGGGAAATTTATTATGAAAAACAAAGTTTTAGCGAACAGTTGAGAGGCATAGATACAATAGATACATAACTAATTAACATAAAAAAATTTATGCAAAGCAATTAATTTTTACCTACTCTAGTATTCGTTTAACATCGTCAAATTCAAAACAATTCGAATGCAATAATTTGCGCATGTTTGAACCTTTTCTTTTTGAGAATAACCTTTGCAAAAAGTAATTTTTTATGGAATGTGAGATTAAAAAGTATGGAAAAATTTTAGACTTTTAAAATAAATTTAGTTAAAGAATACTTGGAGTCCGTTTGGTACACATTAAAATGAGATAATGTATTTTTTTGAAGTGATGTGATGGGGAATATGTGATTGAAAAAGAAGGAACAGTTATTGATGTAATGAAAAATATTATTTTATTGAAAAATGTGTGGTTGAAAATGAGTAAAAGAATGAGAATAAAAAAATTAATGTGGACCGAACAGGGGCTTGATTAAAAATGAGTTTAGAAACAAAAAAAAATTAGAATTTTGCTATTTGTACATTGGGATTGAAACCCCTATGTACCCCACCCCACCCCACCCCACCCCACCCAAAGGAGCCCACGATTTTTTTATTGGATTTCGAGTACCCCCTTTCCGCGTACATGTAACCCACAAATTTAACCTTAAACAAATATCCGTGGATAACTCGGAATTTAGTCTCTTTTGGTACACATTATTTTTTTTATTCTTATTTTTCTACTCATTTTCAATCATATATTTTTCAATAAAATAATATTTTTCATCACATCAATAACTTTTCCTTCATTTTTAACGACACATTCTCCATCAATATACTATTCAATAATACATTTTTTCAAAAGAATGTGTCCCAAACACTCTTAATATTTGTTACAATTTTGTTTAAATTTTATAATATAATATTTTTTAGAGCTTTCATCGAGCCCAATATAGTTCGTTCTCTGTACGAACAACATCACTGCGTGCGACGGAGAGCAAACCTGCCGGCCAATTTCACGGCTCATTAAAAATGAATTCTCCTGTCGAATTTAATGCTCTGAACACTGAGACTTCGGTAATTTATTTGAACTGATATTTAATTTTGTTTTATCTATATAGGGATTTTATTTGGGTTTCTTGGAGCTGGGTGTAGTATGAATCGATGGTTTTCAGTTATTTTGTCCGTAAATTTCTGGTTTATTTCACTCAGTTTTCATCATCATACTCAAACTATTGTTGGTAGAAGGAAGTTGATAACTTTTTTTGAAGCTATAAGTATTTAAGAACTAGTTTACTGAATTGAAATAGTGCAAAAAATCTTAAAATTGATGAGTTGAAAGTTATCTGTAGTTGCACCTGTGTGAAATGTAGGTTAAGCCTTGCTACCTTTCTTAATTTCTGTTGAGGGATTAATATGATATTTGATTTTGTTCAGGGTACAAAAGTTCTAGATATGTGGAATGCAGAGCCTGTTTGGAAGCACTTAGCAACAAGGTGGAGTCGAGTTTCTGAAGTTTTGTCATTTGTGCTTGTTGGATTAATTTCTTAATGTCATTTTTGCAGCTACTACTTGCTTTTCTTGTCACTGGAAAAGCTTAAGTAATTCCTTAAAACACGAAATGCTCTTTATTGTTATAGTTGATATTTAATATTATCAATTGGTTTTTTTGGCATAGACTCTAGATGGAGTGTAAATTCCCCGCCGTAATTATTAATTGTTTCTATTTTAGTTCCTAGAAACTCTTTTGATCTCTAGCCCAAGATTTATAAGAAAAGAATCTAAAAGATTCCTAAGGGTACAAGTCTTCTCTTCCACTGTCACTTTGCTATTCGTAAATGTTGACAACTTCTTTACACTCATCTCTCATTAATTCTCGTCCATCAAATACATCCCACCAAATCTAAACAAAACAGATACAAAAAATTTCATACCAAAATTGACAAATGAGTTCAAGAACAGGTTGATCATTTCACACCAATGAAGACCTTGTCCCCACAAAAAACCATCAAATCCAAACAATAAAAAAAAAAAAAGAAATTCACACCAAAACTAACAAATGAACTTATTGCCCGGTGAAAGTCCTCTCATTCATGGTTGGATCATCACAATAGGCTTAGACACAACCCATGCAGTATAGGAAACACTTGAAATGCTTATATATAAAGGTGAGTATAAAAGTGTTCTTACTTTTATTGAATTATTGCTCAATTTTTCGAACGAAACTATACCTCAGCCCCAACACGGTTTGCGAGAGGATGTTAGAAACATTATACAACTTGGCAATGGAAATGATGAGAATTAATGGAGCGATTAGAAGATCAGAAAATCTTGAAGTGATAAGATTATCAAATTCAAACCAATGGATAAATACGAAGTTGTTAATTTGTTATTTGATAGTTGTTATTTATTTTTTGAATAAACACTAGCTATAGAGAATTGTTAAGCTTATTTTATCATAAATATGAATAAATGTGTGTTAGGTGCTCATGGTCTATGGTTATCGGTCAATAATGTTTTAATCAAGTTTTTT